CCTTGTCTCAGCAAAGGACTTCACCTCCTACCTCATGGAGAAAATAAAGGTGTTCTTGATGAACTTACTGGAAACTTATCAATAGGCAGCTGATCTAATTTCTTCTTTTAGAACAAAATGCCTTTTCTCTAGATCATGGCTAAGTTCTATTCCATTTCTTCCTTTCTCTGCCAAGAACCTATCTAATTTATTATGTGTTATTTACTTTTTTCAGTTTTGAGCTTTTACCTTTTTATAGTACACTAGAGGCCTGGTGCACGAATTCGTGCACCAGTGGGGTCCCTTGGCCTGGTCTACAGGATAGGGCTGAAACTGGCTCTCCGACATCCCCTGAGGGGTCCCAGATTGTGAGAGGGTGCAAGCCAGGCTGAGGGTCACCACCAGTGCATGATCAGGGCTGGGGAGGGACTTGGAACATTGGCCAGCTGAGGAGGGACCACAGGAGGGCTCCAGGGTGTGTCTGGCCTGTCTTGCTCAGTCCCAATTGGCTGGACTCCAGCAGCAAGCTAACTTACTGGTTGGAGTGTCTGCCTCCTGGTGGTCAGTGCATGTCATAGCAAGCAGTTGAGCGGCCTTAGCATATTATTAGCATACTATGCTTTAATTGGTTGAACAGACGACCGGACACTTAGCATATCAGGCTTTTATTATATAGGATAAGAATTCTAAAGGCTCTCCCATGTTAAAATATATTGATACCAAAACATTTTTTCTACAACTTATGTCCCTGTGATCATTTCATCTCTCTTCTTCTCTTTAAACTACACCTCTTGAAAAGAGAGTCTACATTTACTATCTGCAAACACTTTATTCCTTTAAACCAGTGAAATCTTGCTTTTGCCTCCATATTTCTGTTACATTTTCTAGCAATAATCTCCCAATTACCAAAGCTAAAGGATACCTCTCATTCCTCATCTTAATTTTATAAGAGAATAAATTTTCATAGCCCTGTAATTAGAATTATTCAATTATTTTTGTAATTATTTTATTATTTAGTTAATTAAATTCCCCAGAATAAAACCTTCACATCCCCAGGTGATTTCTCATAGCTGGGGCCTAGCAGACTGTCCGTCACCTTTTAGGCATTTGGTAATTATTTGTTGAATGGATGAATGGACAAGTGGACGACGAATAAAAACACAATCCTTGTCCTCAAGAGACCACAGAAGAGTTCACGATCTAGTGCGGAGTTGGCATTCTATATAACACACATGTGTTGGAAATTTCAGGAGTAGAAAATCATATGACATCCACCCAGCCCACACACTAGAATGTGAAATGTCAGAAAATTGCCATCTGTCATTCTTGACTAATGAATCTGTCTATAAATTTGGAATATTAGGTTTTAAATTTTGTTATAATTACTTCATAAGAAATAGAATATAATTTAAATAGTGGGTCATAAAAAAGGTAAGAAAAGTATTTTATAATAACTTCAATATATAATTCTAAATTCTCATATTTTGAAGGTAAAAGATCTGGATTTAACCTATGTGAGGGTCTTTTATGGTATCATTAAGTCTCCGTGTACAAGAGAGCTACAGCTCTTTTAGCCCAACTATTTGTATGGTATAAAATAATGTTCTCTATAATGTTCTCCAGAAAGTTCTGATCAAATCAATGCCAGGAGACACCTGTGATAGGGAACATATTCCCTTTTATGGTATCCAATTTCTGGATTATTAAAACTCTAAATTCTCCTTAGCATAATACCCTCTAGGTACTAAGTGAAATAAGTTACACAGAGAAAGACTAATACCATATGGTTTCATTTACATGTGGAATCTAAAAAAGAAAAACAAACAAATAAAACAAAACAAAAACGTTGATAGAAAAGGAGATCAAATTGGTGGTTTCCAGAGAGGAAGGGGTTAGGGGATGGGTGAAAAGGTGAAGGGGGATGTAGTCAATAATATAGTGACAGGTTTGCACAGTGACAGATGATTATTAGACTTAGATGATCACATTATAAGCTAGGTAAATGTTGAATCCCAATATTATACATCTGAAACTAATATAATAATGTATACCATGTATGTTAAACAACCCCCTCTAAATAAAACTAGCTTCAAGTAACTTAAATTGGTCCAGTTTAACTATTTAAGATTGGCTGCTTTTAGCCACCTGAATTAGAGCTCATATTTTTTTTTTGAAAAGGGGAAATATAAGGGTTTATTGTGACGCTTGGGGCAAAAATGGGGGTCAACTGAAGGAGGAATGGCAAACATATAGTAAGTAGTGGTATTAAAAATTTTGTATAACTGAATAAGAGGTGTTAAATATTTTATTTATTGATTCATATAACAAATGTTTAAAGAATGTGTTAGATATTATGAGTATTGCAAATCATTTCACTGTTTTGACCACCAATAATGTTTCCTGAGTTGAGTATTGAAATGTGGATCGGTAGCAAAATAAGGGAAAGACATTCCTTTATTCAACACATTTTTATAGAGCACCTGAAAAATCCAAAATGGGGAAAAAAACCCCACAAATGAACAAATTTAAAGATTTAGGGACAATCCCAGCTTCTGTTGCTGACAGTTTCTGCATATATCTGGTAGGCTTGAGCTTTCATTTTCATTGCATGAGCAAGGCACAGAATAAATACTATGACATGTGCAAGATGGAAGTATAGACACTCCCCAAATTTGAGTCTTCCCAAAAGATGATGTCATCAATGAAAGACTAAAGGAGGAAAATAAAAAGTCTTGCTTTGTAAGAAGGAATGGCAAAGAAACTTGAGTTTCTTAGTCTTGGCTTTAGAGAAGGAAAAAAAAGTTTCCTCTTATAATGTACTAGAGGCATGGTGCATGGATTCGTGCACTGGTGGCGTCCCTCGGGCTGGCCTGTGCCCTCTTGCAATCCGGTACCCCTCAGGGGATGACATCCCCTGAGGGATGTAATAGTGTGCAAAGCAGCAGGTGGCCAGGGAGGAGCCTGAGCCCAGGCTGGGCACTGCACCCCTCCTGCTCATCCCTTCCCTGCTGTGCCTGCCGCCGCTGTCACTCGGTAGTGCTGCCACGGAGGCAGGAGAGGCCTGTGTTGTTGCAGCTGCTCTTGCCAGCAGTGAGCACAGCTTCTGGCGCCCATTAGTCAGCTGAGCAGAGCTCCCACTGTAGGAGCGCACTGACCACCAGGGAGCAGCTCCTGTGTTGAACGTCTGCCCCCTGGTGGTCAGTGCACATCATAGACAGTGGTAAAATGGTCAACCGGTCACTTAGGGTTTTATATATATAGATAATCACAAACAGGCTCAGAATCCATATTGCTGGTATCTCAAAAACCCCTAAGTGAGAAATTAGTTTAATGTTGTTATGAGTTGAAAGTTTTCTTAACTGCCTGGAGGAAAAATTTCTTGAGAAATGGATCTTAATCCCAGCTTGCAAATAATTCCCATTCCTTTGGAATGAGTTTACAATTTTAAAAAATAAAAAAAGAAATCAGCCACTGTGAGTGAGAGACATAGCCTTTCAGCTCCTCCAAAATGAAATTAGATTTACAAAGACCATAGACAGTATTTTCTGATACAGGATAGAAAATAAGTATGCATAATATGCTTAAAAAGTAAAAGTATAAATATATGAATGAACTAGAGACTATAAATATGTATAAGGCCTAGCCTGTTTGGCTCAGTGAATAGAGCATCAGCCCAAGGATTGAAGGGTCACAGATTAGATTCTGGTCAAGGGCACATACCTCAGTTGTAAGCTGGATTCCATGGACCCGGACAATATTGAGTATTATTATGATTAGGAATGTAGTCTCCCAGAATGGCCTGCCTGGGTTTGGATATTGACTCTACCTACTGGTTAGCTGTACATATAACCTCGGGAAAGTCAACTCCTGTTTTTTGGCTTCAGTGTCCTCATCTGTAAAAGAGAGGTAAAGATAGTACCTAATTTAGGGGGTGGTTGTGGTTGTGAGAATAAAGTATGATACAGCAATCAGCACACTTTGCATGTGACAACTGTTTTTAAGTATTTCTATTTTTAAGACTCAAACTTATAAATTCTTTCTCTACTTCACCTTATTATGACATGTCAACACATTTCGTACCGCTCAGGAGTTTTCTCGTGTTTCACGCGCCATCTGTTAAGGACTGCTCACGAGTGTTCTCGTTTTTCACGCCCATGGAAAAAGGAGCGAATCTAGATACTTATGTAAATTTTGTTTGGTCCCTCTTCATAGAGGAAAATGTTTTATGCAGTACCATACGTTAAAAAAGTACTAGGAACTTTGTTTAATTGTTGTTGTAAATAAAAATGTTATAATTATTGAAAAACAACACCTAAAGTGCATTATGATGATTTAAATAACGTGCAGTTTGCCCAAAAACGTGCGATCCCTGGCATATATCATAGAGACTTCTATGCGGTACGCAATGTGTTAACCTACCATATATCTTGAAATAAAGGGTGTCTTTTGAGTTCTATAGTTACCCTCAAAAGTAAGCAAGGCAGGCATGACCCTTTTTCCTTCATTAGGTACCTGAGGCTCCATGAGCTTTTGGGGCAGTAGAACAAAGTGATGAAGGGATTCAGGTTTGTTCCATGGTTCTGCATCTTTCCAATTACCGTATCATGAGTAATCTGCTTTCCTCATGTATAAAAGGGATTAATAATAGTACTTCAACAGCAAAACAAACAAACCAGAAACAGTTGTGAGGCTTAAGTATAAGGTGATTCATAGGAAATACTATCTAACACCCCTGGTAAATTATGAGTCAGCAAATATTAACTTTCTGTTCTTCATTTCTCCAAAATTTTTATATTCCATGTTCTACGTTTTCAATCTAAATTATATAATGTAGTTGACTCTGTTTTTCTGTCAGTTAGCATCGAGACACTACTAGTTTGTAAATAATTCTAAACCAGAGGGTTTCATCTCATATATTTTATCTTTAATAGACCTTGGCTAGTAGCTAGAAGGTGCTTGATGTATGACAAGATTTTTTCATAATGTTTCAAACTATATGTTAGTCCCATTGCCTGTACAAAATGGAAAGTAATAGGTGTTTTGGAAATGCTTATGTAATTTTCCCTTTGGACTCTAAAGACTAGATTTTTCTTTTGAAAGCAGAATCTTTGCCTTTTCTGGATTTTAGTCTTTCTATCAAATGGATGGTATTTCTGGAGCACTCAGTGTTCCTATTTATATTAACTAATGATTGCTAAATTATTTTAAAATATCAGGCTCGCCTATAAAAACTAAGCCTTGTGATGATCGGGATGATAATAATGCTGATATGTGTAAATGAGGCCGCTTGTATCCATTGGGATCTGCTGTGCTGTTGCACACACTTCTGGGGGAGCTCGCTCTTTCTTGATATATGTAGTTCATTTACTCTATGCTTTCAGTGCTAAATTTTAGTAATTGCAAAACATCTGAGGAGCATGGGCCGAAAAAAACCACTCAAATGAGTTTTTAGAGCACCTCTGTGTTAGTATTTAAGAAAAATATTGTACTACTTGTTATTAAAAAAAAATCTGTGATTTGCAATTTAATTTGAAAAAAAATGCACTTACAACTTGAAAACAAATGGTATACAATTAAAGCTTTTTTTTTTTTTTAATTCCAGAGCAAGTTCAACTGGGTAAAATAGTGACTAATATTGAATCAGTGGGTAAAAAAATGGAGAAAGAAAAGCAGGAGTACCATGGAAAGCCCAGGTAATGTGCAATAAGCTAACCCATAGAAAACATAATTTTATTCTACTTTGCCAATATTTCCTGACCAATTCTTGTGGTTTCTCAAGTTTATTAACATCCCATGCATGAGGCTAATTTATCCTTCTGCTTGAGTCTCTCAAAGCATATCAATTATCAAAATTTTAGTTTTTAGTTCAATTAACTTTTGAACTGGAGGATGTGTGAATAGCTAAGCAAACCATCTGGGTTTTACAGTGCATAAGCTCAGATCCAATTTGTGGTTTTCTTGAGAAAAATGCCATATTTTATGATAATATTACAGAAGTTTGGGGTTTTAATAACTCATCTGCAAAAATTATGGAACAGAGTTAAGCTATAACTTTTTCTTTTTTAATTTAATAATTTCAAGTTATTCTTTTTTCTAACAGAAGGTGCATCTGATCCTACAAAGCCAGTTAGAAGGCAGACATGTTGAGTATTGCTTCCGCTTTCCAAAGGTGTAGGGAGATGGGTCAGTTACTTTGTTAAATTATCCCACTAAATAGCATCATCCTCTTTGAGATAATTTTATAATTGTGTATATAATTATTGGCCCTAAAGCTACAGATAGACCTTCTAAAGGCCTTTTGGCACATTTCGTAGGAACATTTATACTTGTAAATACTGCTCTGTTAAAATGTTGTTATTTTTTTCAGAGCCTTGTTTTACATTATTATTATGACATGATCAGAAATGTGGAGTAATTAGCACAATTATAAAAAAGAAATTTGAGAAAATGTTGCCATGGTGATACAGAATATCGTTGCTCTTCCAATATTTATTGCTTCAAACTGTGCTTAATCCTAGAAGATCCTTGCTGAGAAGTAATCGTCCTCTTGGCTAATGCATAATAAGATACTCAAGTTTGGAAGAGTGTAATATATGTAGAGCTTTAATACTAAGGGTTTGGTATCCGTGATAGGATATTAATTGTAAAGGGACAAAAATGATTACACTGGAAATGTACTGGTTTATAAAAATTTCCTTTCTGCCTTTACTTAATTTAACCCAAGGCCCAGGTTGGTCTAGCAAGTGGTAACTGTTAAAAGATAATTAATATAGCAATTTAATAAAATAATCTAGAACTTCAGCTTACCTGGTGTGGCTTAGCTGGTTGGAGTGTCATCTCATACACTACTAAGAGGTTTGATCCCTGGTAGGGTGCACGCGGGAGGCAACTGATTGATATTCTCTCTCACATTGATATTTCTCTCTCCCTAAAAATCAATGGAAAACATAACCTCAGGTGAGGATTAAAAATATAGTTTAGAATTTCAAGTAAGATTTTAATAACTAGAAACATTAACTAATTTGAAAACTTACTATTTTCAGTATATTCATTTGGGACCAGTAATCCATGGAAGAAGAATAATGACTTAGGGACAAGTGGACACTTATTAACAATAAATCTGATCATTTATAATGTTTTTCAATCTGTATTGCTTAAGAAAGTTGAATATCTACCAAATAACTAATTTTTTCTGTAACTGGTAGAAGATAAAGGTTTCTCTACACCCAATTGCCCTATCTTTAATGAAAACATGCCCTGCTTAATGAGGAAGATCACCCCTATGGAATTAAGAGCGAGTACCTGTACTTCCAATGACAGCCTGGGGCACATATGCCTGAACTTAAATCCACCCAGATTTCTAGCTACGTTATGACAGTAGCTTGTTTTCTACCTTAGCAGTTAGCATCATTTTATTAATATTAGAACTGTGATAGAAATGCAGAAGGACAGACAAATAATTGTTTTGGTACATTATAGCTCAGAGTTTTAAAAAAACCTTTGCTTAATTAGATAAAATGTCATTACACTGAAATTTTTATTGAGATACTAGAGGACCGATGCACGAAATTTGTGCAAGAGTAGGCCTTCTTTCCCCCAGCTTCCAACACCAGCTTCCCTCTGGCACTGGGCAGGCACCCAGGACCCTGGATTTCCTTGCAGCCCCGGCTTCGTCCGGAAGGTCATCCGGAAGGAGGTCTGGTCTAATTAGCATATTATGCTTTTATTATTATAGATAGTTTTCCACATAATCAAGATAAGGAAACTTAGCAACAGAAAGGAAAATTGAATTAGTCAGGAAGTCAGGTGGGATTGTTAACAATGCAGGGATAGACTCTAGGACTAATTAACATCAATTGACCAACTGTTTGTGACACTCAAAAGCTGTGGTACATTTATACCAGGGAATACTATGCAGTGGTAAAGAAGAAGCATCTCTTACGCTTTGAGATAGCATGGAGAGACCTGGAGAATATTATGCTAAATGAAATAAGCCAGTCTGAGAAAGACAGGTATGGCTTGATCTGTCATATGTGGAATCTAAAGAACAAAATAAACTATGAACAAACTAGATCCAGAGACATAGAGACATGGAACAGACCATTGGATCTCAGAGGGAAGGTGGGGGTGGGTGGGAAGAGATTAACCAAAGAACTTGTATGCATATATGCATTGCCCATGGACACAGACAATAGTGTGGTGAAGGCTTGGGGTGGGTGTGGGCTAGAAAGGGTCAATGGGGAAAAAAGAGGGACATCTGTAATACTTTCAACAATAAAGATTTAAAACAAAAACAAAACAACTACAAAAAACCTAGTGCTCAGGGTTGAGGGTAAAAAAAAAATACGTTCCTGTTTAAGACAAATGGACCCCTGTGAGAGCAGTTGTATGTAAACTACTTACAATTCTCCTGAAGATGCCTTGAAAAATACTATTTTTGAACTTTTCAAAAAGGTAGGCCATAAAAATATTGGCCCAATGAAAGAAATTCCTTTGGATAATACATGAAGAAATAGGATAGAATCTTATAAATGTATGATTTATTTCCTTTTCCCCAAATTATCTATGTCTGACTTGCAGAGGGAAAACAAAATTAAATACTTCTACTTTTTAAAATGTAAGTTCAAGGAAGGGAAATTCTTTAATGTACCTTTGAATTTTAACTTCAAAGATTAATATCATACATTAACATACTCTATTTATGACAATAATGATAAATGGGAGTATATTCTAAATGTTGATTTTCCACCAAGGAAATTCATTTGTTATTCACTTATTTATTAAAGAGGATTTTTCAGTTGACAAAATTTAGTGCATATGGAAGTATGACAACTACATTTTTAAAATAAATTTTTATTGATTTCAGAGAGGAAGGGAGAGAGACATAGAAACATCAATGATGAGAGAGAATCATTGATCAGCTGCCTCTTGCAAGCCCCACACTGGGGATTGAGCCCACAACTCTGTCATTTCACTTTAATGTTTATAAAATATTTTGCTTAAGAGGATGAATTGTGGTCCACCTCTTTTTGAATCTTTCATTAATAGGGAATAATTTTTTAAACATGCAATTAGTGGTTCTAATTTGGAGCTTTGGCTCAGGGTTTTAAAAAAAAAAAACTTTAACCATGGATCAGATAGAAGAAAGCAAAGCAAACTATGACTAATCAGTTTATCTTGGCCCAGTTCTTGGTGGCATACAAATAAATTCTAGAATCTCAAATGGAGTTGTACAAAATTACCTGAATACTTATTTGACTTCTTATATTTTCCCTTGGCAATATGACTATGTTATATTAGGGGTACCTCATATCTTTAACTACCTGCATGAGTGTGACTACATGAGTGATTACTAGACTAATGGGTCTTATAAGTCAGTCATTTATTTACTATTTAATGAATGCCTACTATATGCATAATGTAAAACTCTGAACAGGACAGTTACACTCTCTTCCCTCATGGGCCCTATTCTTTGATGGGTAAAATGTTTTAAAATCCTAACATTTTCTTTAACTTGTATATGACATGTGAATTAGCCATTTAATTTCTAGGCATTTATAATAACAAAATAATTGGACAGGTACACAGATATGAACACTCAAAGACTTTTATCCTTGTTTACAAACAACAACAAAAATTGAAACAACCCAAATGCCCAACAAAAGAAAATTCATAAAACCATCAATATGTTAAATTCATACAGTGGAATCTATACTAATAAAAGGGTAAGATGCTAATTAGACCAACATCTTCCAGATGTCCTTCCTGACAAAGCCAGGCCCGGGTGAAGCCGCCTGCAGTCCCGGGTGCCTGTTGCCTACCAGAGGGAGGGAATCCCATGTCCTGGGTGCGGGGGCCAAGGCAGAGGCAGTTAGGGGCAATCAGGCAGGCAGGGGAGCAGTTAAGGGTGATCAGGCTGGCAGGCAGGGGGGTTAGGGGAGATCAGGCAGGCAGGCAGGCAAATGGTTAGGAGCCAGCGGTCCCAGATTGCGAGAGGGATGTCTGACTGCTGGTTTAGGCCTGATCCCGCATCCCCCGAGTGGTCCCAGATTGGAGAGGGTGCGAGCCAGGCTGAGGGACTCCCCACCACTGTGCATGAATTTTGTGCACTGAGCCTCTAGTCCTAATATATAAAAACCCAGGTCCATAATGGCTGACCGAAGGCTCGACCAAACACCGGAAGTCAGTTCTGTAGTCAGTGCTGGGTTGCTGTGGTGACCCAGCACTGACTGCCGAGGGGGCTGCAGATTAGGCCCGGAGAGAGGCCCAGGGAGAGAGAGAGGCAGGGTCTGATTCGCAGCCTCTGTGGCAGCTGTTGCCTCTCTCTTTCTCTCTGGGCTTCGCCAGCAGCCATGCCTCTCTTTCTCGTTCTCTCCGGGCCTCTGCGGAGGCTGCTGATCAGCCCTGCCTCTCTGATCAGGCCCGAAGATAGACCCAGAGATGCTGACTGGCATAGAAACTGACCAATCAGAACCAAATCTGAGTGAACTGTGAGGAGCCAATGGCTGCCTAGGAGGCAGAGCTTTTGATGCTGACTGGCATAGAAACCAACCCATCAGAACCAAAATGTCTGGCAGTGGAGGGCAGTTGGGGGCGAGATCAGGCCTGCAGGGGAGGGCAGTTGGGGGTGAGATCAGGCGAGCAGGGAAGGGAAGTTAGGGGTGATCAGGCAGGCAGGCAGAGGCATTTGGGGTGATCAGGCAGTCAGGCAGGTGAGCGGTTAGGTGCCAGCAGTCCCAGATTGCAAGAGGGATGTCCGACTGCCAGTCCGACTGTCCCACAGGGATCGGGCCTAAACTGGCAGTTGGACATCCCCCAAGGGGTCCCCGATTGGAGAGGGTGCAGGCTGAGCTGAGGGAACCCCTCCCTCCGTGCACGAATTTCATGCACTGGGCCACTAGTGTTATATAATGGGCCAAAATAACAATGTCCACCTTTTCACATTTACAGGGAAAGATATGATAAAAAGTGTAAAAATCAGTTAAAAAGTTATATAAAAATAGAAAAGATATGGCATATATTGCACATTTTAATCATGACAAATAGTTGTCAGTATGAAGTAGTAATAAGGAGCTTAGTTCTTGAAGTCCTACATGCTGCCTGGATTCCTATACTGGCTCTACCCATTTCTAGCTGAGATAATATGAACTGCATGCCACTTAGCCCATAAATGCCTGATTTTGTTCACTTTTAAAATGGGTATAATTATAGTAAACAACCAAAGGCTTCTTTATGAGGATTAAATATGATAAGACACATAAAGGGCTTAGTATAGTGTCTGGTCAGTAAGGGTTTGCAATTATTACTAAAACTAGAGGCCCGATGCATGAAGTTTGTGCAAGGGAGGGGCTCGGCACTTGAAGCCTAGGTGGCTTGCCTTAGCCCTCGCAGCCCTGGCTTTGTCCAGAAGGATGTCCTGAAGGTCGTTTGGCTGTCTGGCCTAATTAGCATATTATGCTGTTATTATTATAGATATTACAGTGGTAAATTAAGGATAATTTTAATTTTCTTCCTTTTGCTCATTTACATTTTCTGTTTCTTTCATAATATCTGCTTTTTAATTTTTCTGACTTGGTTGAAGCTCTCCAAGTCATGACAGAAAAACACATTACTTAAAAGATTTTTGTAAAATAGAGAAGAAATAGGTATGATACATGCTCATTTTTCTTATTTTTATTAAAACATTTTTGTTCAGAAGTAAATGTTGCTATTTGTTATTCTTGCTCAGAGCCATCCAAACTTGGTATTACTTTGTATTCACTCAACAATAAATATTTAGAGATGGTCTACAATGTGCCCTGAACTGTAGGGCACTGAGGATACAATAGCTGCTGTCTGTGTTGATAGGAGACAAGTAGTTTTCTTTCCAAGGTTAAATATTCCTCTTGAAAGTTTATATTTCTAAACAGGGACTATTAAATAACTCAGAGCTCCACCTTTATGTTTTTAAAACAGGATGTTGGGCTCACACACCTTCCCCATCGTCAAACTTGGCTTGTCCTCCGCACTCAGGACCCACTCTTCCATGGGGTTTCTGAAAGAAAGTGGTGAGTCTCATTGTATAAGTGTTGGTAGCAGTGATTTTCATTATTTTGCATTCATTTAAAATGCAAAGTGAACAGTCATTTCATTTATATTTCATTTCAAATACTATGTTAAAAAGTGATTTCATAAATAGCTACTAATAATTAATTAGCTCCTTTTCCAAACTTCAGAGATTGGATTTTTTGATGTGTATGAATTTTGAAACTATTAGGAAATTATAAGGATACATTTTTATAAATTGTAAAGTTTCTTAATATTTAAGTTATTGTTACTTTTAAAACTATGTAATTCTTTTGAAGAAAATATAGATGATTCTTTAAAATTCCTTAAATGTGATTGAGAATACTCTTTGGAATGTGGTGAACTACTTGAAGACCTAGGGGCTATTGGTTCAAATAAACTGCTTTGTACTTTTCCTTCTTTTAAACGTACGACTCACGCACGTAAGCTACAGGCTGTCATTAAGGAAAACCTCTTCATGTAGAGTGGCACTTTGATTAATTTTGGGAGAAATTTTTGAAAAGTTTCCAAATAAATTCCTCCTTGAGTTATCAAGTCATTTTTGTATAAAATTTTCTTGCTCCACTACAAATTTACCAACTTTTATTTGTTTGGATTATTATAGAAGGAATTCCAGAATCAAGTGGAGGCTTATGAAACACATTTTCATTAATCCAACCAATTTCCCCCTAACCTATTAATACTTGTGAATATAATATCAGAATTTTCAACAGATAAAATAGATTGTTTAATATTTTTTACTAGAGGCCCAGTGCACAAATTTGTGCATGGGCGGGGTCCCTCGGCCTGGCTGGCGATCGGGGCCAACCAGGGTTGTGGGAAATTGGCCAGGGAGAGGGACCATGGGAGGTTGGCCGGCTGCGGGAGGTTGGCTGTGGGAGCTCACTGACCACCAGGGGGCAGCTCCTGCATTGAGTGTCTACCCCCTGGTGGTCAGTGCGCATCATAGCAACCGGTCGACTGGTCATTCATCGTTCAGTTGTTTGGTCGTTCAGTCATTTAGGCTTTTATTTATATACTAGAGGCCCGGTGCACAAAAATTTGTGCACTCGGGGGGGGGGGGGGTCCCTCAGCCTGGCCTATGCCCTCTTGCAGTCTGGGACCCCTCGGATGATGTCCATCTGCTGGCTTAGGCCCGCTCCCTGGGGGAGCGGGCCCAAGCTGGCAGTCAGAAATCCCTCTGGCAGCCTGGAAGCCCTTGGAGGATGTCCACTTACCACCAGGGAGCAGACCTAAGCTGCAGTCAGACATCCTTAGTGCTGCTGAGGAGACGGGAGAGGCTCCCGCCACCACCGCTGTGCTGGCAGCCATCAGCCTGACTTGTGGCTGAGCAGAGTTTCCCGTGTGGGGGTGCACTGACCACCAGGGGACAGCTCCTGCATTGAGCATCTGCCCCCTGGTGGTCAGTGTGTGTCATAGTGACCAGTCGTTCCCAGTCCTTCTGCTGTTAGGGTCAATTTGCATATTGTCCTTTTATTATATAGGATAGAGGCCTGGTACATGGGTGGGGCCAGCTAGTTGGCCCTGAAGGGTGTCCCAGATCAGAATAGGGGTCCCACTGGGTGCCTGGTCAGCCTGGGTGAGGGGCTGATGGGTGTTTGTAGGCTGGTCACACCCCCTTCAGGTGGGGGTCCCCTCTGGGGTGCCTGGCCAGCCTGGGTGAGGGGCTAATGGCTGTTTGCAGGCTGGTCAAGCCCTGCCTCCAGTGGGGACCCTCACCCAATGGAGGTTTGGCCAGCCTGGGTGAGGGGTTGATGGTTGTTTTCAGGCTGGCCACACCCCCTTTCGGGTGAAGGGTCCCCACTGGGGTGCCTGGCCAGTCTGGGTGAGGGGCTGAGGGCCATTTACAGGCTGGCCAAACCCCCTGGCGATGGAAGCTCCCAGCCTCTCCTTTTTTTCTTTTTTTTTTTATTCTGGGATTTATTTACCTTCTATAATTGAAACTTTGTAGCTTTGAGTGGAGTTAAGAGCCAGCCAGGGCAGGGCGAGAAGCTTGGCTTCCTCCACCACCAGGGGCAACCCAAGCCTCCTGCTCATTATAGCCCCGTGGCCGGCTGAAAGCAGGTATCTGGGTTTTTTTAATCTTTTATAATTGAAACTTTGTTGCCTCCAGTGGAGCTCAGAGTCGGCCACAGCAGGCATTAAGCTTGGCTTCCTCCATCACTGGGGCAACCAAGCCTCCTGCTCAATCCAGCTCCATAGTTTCCGGCTGCCATCTTGGTTGGGTTAATTTGCATATAGTCGCTCTGATTGGCTGGTGGGCATGGCTTAAGGCATAGCGAAGGTATGGTCAATTTGCATGTTTGTCTTTTATTAGTGTAGACTAGAGGCCCAGTGCATGACATTTGTGCACTGGGTGGGTGTGTGTGTGTGGTTCCCTCAGCCCAGCTTGCGCCCTTGGGGGATGTCCGACTGCTGGCTTAGGCCTGCTTCCTGGTGGTTCTGCCATTTGGTCAATTTGCATATTATCCTTTTATTATATAAGATAGATATTATATTGCTCCAGAGCTTAAATTTTTTTAAGGCTTGATCAGATAATTTGAGGCCCTGAGGTAGTAGAATAATGTATGGGTCTCAATTGAGACTAGAATTTAATGCATATGAGAAGATGTAAATGCTGTAAAAAATTCCTCATAAAGCATAGGTCTAATGGATGAATTTGTTTTAATGGGTAATAACCTTGAAATCTGACAACCGTGAAAGCTGGGGTTTACAGCCCTTTACTACCTCATCAGTGAAAGTCCTACTAATTTTGTGACATTTATGATTTATCCAGGATCATCCGAAGGGTTGATGGGAGCCTCTGTTTTCAAAAACCGTCCATCTCAGATAAATTGCAGGTGTCTTTTCCTTGTGGAGGATCTTCTTAGCTTATTGAGGTATTCAGGAATTCTCATGGTTTTAGTCAGAATGTAGAAATTGATTGAAGCCTTCTTTTTCCGTATACTCAGAGCTTACTCTTCAGGGGCTTGACCGCTGTATGCTTAATTCTAAAGAAAAGATAGAAGACCTTTCTAAAATATATGTTGAGAATGAATCCCAGTTAAATTGTGAGTGGAAAGCTGGCAGTATGGACAGACATATACATGATATATTTTGAGATTTTCTAACAGTTCTATCTGTGCAAAAATTTTCTGCTGAAATAATGAAATATTTACTATTAGAACCATAACTTCATGGAAACTGACTCCTACTTATCACAGTGATAAGTAACTGGCTCATATTAGGCATTCATAAATATTTGTTGATGAATGAATGAATGAATGAATGAGTGAAGGTAAATTAAAAGGAAAATCTACTTAAGTGGAATATATTTCTTTATGTATCTGTGTGTCTGTTTCTGCATATTAGGCTAAAATATGATAACTGCTAAAAGGAAAAAAATTGGGGAAAGTAAAATACAATAATAACAGTAATAAATATAAGCATACAAAACAATAGGACCAGTCACTAACTTTTAGTTCTTGTTTACTGATTTTATGCAGACTGCAGAGATACCATTAAAATACGAAAAATGTTATGCAGCCTAGTTTATGTGCTTTAAAATCAAATTGTTGGGCAGATTATTAGTTTTATGATATGTCTCTTAGTACTAATATAACTTCCTGGGGAGTTGGAAGGTTGAACATGCTGAAAGTGTAAAAAATTGCAATAAAAATCTTTATTTCCATATGCTATAGGGTAGCTATTTTTTTCCCCTTAAAATGAAATGTATTTTTAATCAAGTAAGAGTGGGAATTTCATCACTGCTTTGTGGTATGTGAGGTTTTTGTTTATTTTGTCTTGTTTTCAGCCAAACCACTTCTTTTATAATTGAAACATATTTTTAAAATAAGGGCAGAAATATCTGAAGGCTTGTGACCAGCAATTTATTTATGTAGGCTATTAGTAAAATGTGAAATATGTGGATTTTCTTTTTGAATAACCTTGGTGTGGCCCTGGCTTTGTGTGTTGGGTGAAAAATAAGGAATACTTTTTATGTGCTTATTAATTTTTTAGTTCATTTTAAGGCTATTGTCTAAAAATTTGCACAAGGCTTTTTCTTCACATCATTATTGGAACTCTGTTTAGTAAGTTATAGCTTCACTGAATGAGACAGTCACTGAGGCCTACTTAATAATAGAATGTAGCTGAAATCATGAGGGAATGTAGACCTGGTGGTTTCCTCTGAGATGTCTTGTAATTTACTGGCTCTTAAATAGAAATTGCCCAATTCTTTTTTAGAACAAGTAATTCTTACTAAATGAAAACGGAAAGGAAATTAGAACGTAGGAATTAAGGCAAAGTCATTATTTCTGTCCATTTGACTTATATGTCATCCTATATAACAAAAGCCTAATATGTTAAGTTGTTGGTCATCTGGCCAGCTGTTCAACCAATCAAAGAGTAATATGCTAATGATATGCTAAGGCTGCTCAACCACTCACTATGATGTGCACTGACCACCAGGGGGCAGACTGTTGACTGGTCGACCAGTCACTATGATGTACACTAACCACTAGGGGGCAGATGCTCCGATCGGTAGGCTAGCTTGCTGCTGGGGTCCAGCCAATCGGGACTGAATCAGATGGGCTGGACATGTCCTGGAGCCCTCCTGTGGTCCTTCTCTGGCTGGCCAACCTCCTGCACCCCTCCCCGTCCCTGATCATGCACTGGTGGGGTCCCACAGCTTGGCCTGCACCCTCTTGCAATTTAGGACTACTCAGAGGATGTTGGAGAGCTGGTTTCGACTCAATCCTGCTCAACGCAGGAGCTGCCCCCTGGTGGTCAGTGTGCTTCCACAGGGAGAGCACTGCTCAGCCAAAAGCCGTGCTCATAGCTGGCAAGCACAGCAGTGGTGGCGGGAGCCTCTTCTGCCTCTGTGGCAGGGCTAAGGATATCTGACTGCCAGCTTAGGCCTACTCCCCACCTGCAGAACTTGTTCCTAAGCTGTCAGTGAGACATCGCCCAAGCACCCTCATACTGTGAAAGGGTACAGGCC